CATGTTACAAATTGGAAAACAACGAAAGCGCCCATGCAGCCAGCCTCTCCGCAGGGATTCGAACCCCAGACTAAACTACCAGTTTTCAGCGAGTTTACCGCTCAGTTGCTGGTGGGCTCACAAAAATAAACGAGATGTTTTCATTTTTTGGTCAATAGTTTAACTTATTTTTGGAAAGAAAAATCTTAATTTATTCTTCTTTGGTTTTATTTCAGAAAAAAAAAAAAAAAAAAAAAAAATAGTTGGAAAACTTGTAGAGAGGAACTAAAATGACTACTTCTTGTATCCATAATAATAAAAAAAATTTTTTTTAATCCTTCTGGAGCGTCTAAGTCTTCTTTATTAGGACTACAGCAAAGAGTGGTTAATATCTCTTGAGAAGAGAAATAAGAGGGCAGAGGATTAATATAAAAGTGATAAATAAGTACATAAGTACAATTAAATAATTAAAAATAGAGTAAATAAATATAAAACAAAAATGTCTAACAGCAAATAAACTCATATTAAAATTAATAATCCCAGAATAAGAATAAAATCGAAGATTAGAATCTTTTTGCTTGTGGAAAAGCAAAAAGTAAAAAGAAAATTCTTGCATCTGCAAAAAAACAGGCTCTGGTCGCTTTTCAAATCAGGCTGCACAAGCTATCGTTTTAGTTTGATTTCCACAAGACTTCTAATCACTTGATGTTATCCACATCTGGGATTTATCATTTTGCATGTTATTTTATTTGCTCTTTTTTTTAATACATATTAGACTTTTTTTAATCTAAATTTATTAGCCCAAAAGAGCTATTAGTCTCGTTTCGGAATTTTTGCTTTGAATCACTTATTGCGTCGAATCACTTTAGATGACCGTTTCACTTTTCAGATTGTTGCCCGCAAAATATGCTATTTCTTTGCATCATTTCTAAAGAAAATTAAATATTGAAGAATTTGCATGGATTGTGAAAAAAACGATGTTACACAGAGCCATCAAATTTTGAATAAAAAGCAATCCTTCACGCGAACATGTGCACCTGAAATCGCGGGATTTTGAATTTCGAATTTGTTTTATTAGTTTTTCATATTTTGTAAAACTCTAATTCATTTTCAATTAATTGAAAAGAAGCAGTGGCTAAATAAAACATTTTTATCTCCAACTCGCCAGACTGTTGCCATTCGGAAAAAGATGTAAGATATATGTCTTTCAGTATCAGATATGCTATGATTTTGCTGCTGAATAGAATTTATGTAGCGAAAATTTATATTTGATGAATAAAGTTAACATACGAAAAGTTAGTATTAAAAAGACAAAAAAAAAAAAAAAAAAAAAAAAAAAAAAAAAAAAAAAAAAATCTGTAAGCTATCTTACTAAGAAAACTGAACACTAATATTTTGAAATGAGAAAAGACTGAATAGAATATAAAAATGTATAGCAGCTTTTAACATTGTATCGGAATTCTAAAAATAGGCTGCTTTTAAAAAAGTGATTTTGCTGTTGAACTGTATGTGCGATGAAAGCGATGCTTATTAATAAAGCTAAGAGGACAAACAAAAATGGGTTAGCAAACAAAAATGGATTGAGTGAGTGCAATAGCAGATTAAGGAATCAGCGAGAGCGTTAAAATACCTTAACAAACCCCTTTTGGAACGATCGTTAAAATCTGAAAAACCTTCGGATATTTTGTTACTCTATTTTGTATTTAATTGCGCTTATTTTGCACTTTTAGATTTATTTTCTATGAGTACTTCTTTCCGACAGTAATTTGATCTAGATTTTATATTGTGCATGTACCTAAAATGTAAATAAAAGCAACATGATTAATTAATAAATGTCTTCATTATTGGTTAATAATTTATTTATTAAATTTAAACTTTTTATATTAAGTTAATTCTTATAATCAATTATTAATCAAATATGATTATGGTAATTATGATTATTTAATTTTCTTAAATAGTTAAATGGTAGTGTGGTCAAAGCTGATAATATCTCCTCTACGAGGTACCAGCTTTTGTGTTCGATGGTCCCTTTATGGGGTTGTCACTGACGTCCTTGAGTGTGACAAGTACGGGGTTCAGGTTCATTTCAATAGAATTTCTCAATAGACCTCACAGGTAGTGGAAGGGGGAAGGAAATATTTCTCTCCTTAACTGAGCTAAATTTCAGACACAAAATGTTTACCTTTGGAAGAGAAAAATGGTACAAAATATAGAAGTTTTGCTCGCCGGTGAAGTGGTTAATCCGTAAATTTACTTAAGTATGTATATATATATAAATTAGATATATAATATAAATATAATATAGATATATAATATAGTAAATATGTTTTAAACCTTTTCACACGAATTCCAGATCTACATTTTGTTGCTGGTTCCTCTCCTCTAACTATTTCAGAACCTATCCAAAGAATAAAGTCATTTCCAAGGTTATTTCCAAATTTCGAATCTACTGAAAGAGGCTCAATATCAGATACCATAACCACTAACATTCCACATTCGAAGGTGAAAACTACAATCCCAACAAAGCGCCCAAATTATTTTTGGAAATTTCCCATCAACGAATATGAAGCTTTTGCAAAAGACCTCCCGAAACTCGGTTTTCCGAACGACTATATTCCTTACAAGGACTTTTTTCACCGTTACCCGACTTTTAAGGATTTTAAGCAACATTTGATTCGTGCGAAAGCCGAAAGTCTTCGAAGGCTGGCTATGAAACCTGCAATAAAGGAAACAGCCAATAGAGATATTTTATACTGGTTGGATTATGTTTGGAGGTTTTAGTCTATTTTTCATAGTTTTCATCTGTTGTTTTATTTTACTGATACGATACCTAAAAAAGCGATGGCCCCTTGTCTCAGAACATGTTGGAAGAAGGGAATTACAAAATAACGACAATCGACAAGATTTGGAGGAGGGGAATTGAAAATGCAACAATATCAACAATCATTGGTGGAGGAAGAAGGAGGTGTTGGAGGAGGGGAATTCAAAAAGAAATCATATTATTCAATTCACTAGAAGTTTTCAATGTTTTGATGGCATTCCAATCGAGATTGATTTTATACACCCATTCCCGGCCGAAGATTGTGTCCAAATTTTCCTTCACAATGTATAGATTTAAAACTAATTTTTGACCTTGGTATTCAACTTTCAACAGGAACATATATCCTAAAGGTACCACCTTATCACCCTGTAAGTTTTAAAAACTAAATTTGTAGGCTTGAATCTTTTTATTGGAAATTTTTTCTAAATTTATTTATAGACATTACCGAAACTGTTCCCCCAGTATCAAGTTCCATGCTAACTGGTTTGTTTTCAATTTTAACTTGAAGCCATTATTGGAGGTCTTTTTGGGCTCTTCCTCTCTTTTAACATGTGCGTTCCTGGAGTTAAATCCATAGATGGGGACCTCATTTTTCGAATCATAGTCATTATTTGCCTCAACTTTCTTTTGTTTAACCTGTCGGTTTTTCCTAGACAAATAACACGCCCTTTTCGATATGTCCAATTTTTTTTACAAAAGCGGCATTCACTTGTTGCAAATCTACAGTTGTTTTTATTGTGATTTGCTCCTAAGCAAACGCGAGCAAGTTTCATTTTTACCTTTATTATTCTTAGCAACCAAAGTTTTGTTTCCGCGGTTTGGACTCATTTTTCTTGGTTTTAAGTACCTTTAAGTTCTACGGAATTTCCTATAATCTCATTTGCACCCTTAACCGCCTTTTTCATCGCCAAGGCTATCTTTAATGTTTTCTCTAAATCGGTATCATCTTCCTGAAATAATCGATCTAAGATATTACGATCTCGTAGACCGCTAACGAAAACATCCCTTAACATGGTATTTAACATATCCTCTTTATATTCACAAGGAATCGCTAACGAGCGTAATTCAGTGACATAACTACTAATTGATTCCCCCTCATGCTGTTTTCTATTAATAAGCATGTGCCGACAAGGTATTATTAAAGCTTTAGGATTTAAATGATCCTTTAGAACCTTTTTTAGTTCGGTAAAATTTTTATCTGAAGGATTATCCGGAGAGAGTAAATTTTTCAACAAATTATACAATTTCGCACTCAAGCTTGAGATCAGAACTTTCCCACGTTTTGCCTCTGAAACATTTTGAATGTCCAAAAAAGCCTCAAATCGTTCTATGAACGAATCAAAATTTTCTACCGTTTTATCGAACTTATCAAAAGAAACAGAAATTTTGTCCTGTTTATGTTCCGATTTCTCTTGCAATGCGACCATTAAAGCTTCATTTTGCTTTATTAATTCTTCAATTAACTTCTCCATCCTTTCAAAATAAAAATCAAATAACTTTCCTACCTTTTGCAGGTTTCGGGTAATCCCCTAAATCCAAGTTTCGGTTTTGCCACTACTTTTTACGCATGTAACCGAGTGCGCCAAGTCGGGAACGATTTTCTTCTCGCACAGCCTCGTCGCCAACTTTTTGTGTCTAGCGGTGTGGTTTCATTGAAGTGCATGACGCAACCAAAACAGACTAGAACCAAAACTAGTTCACGGCACAAACATTTATTTCTAACTAACTCATAAGACAGCAGCGATGCGCTATTTACGCAGTTACATTCTACTCTACTCTCGTTCACAGAGGTTCTTGGGTATAAGAGCACTGATACTTTCGAAATCAGATGCTACATCCCACCCCACTTATTTAGAGATTTAATCTCTGAGAAGCTTTGCGGATGCGCGAAGATCGTCTAAGTCCTGGCTGAGGTTGCTGCAACTCTTTATCAGGATCCACTGGAATGACGGGCTCAGTTTTCCTTGGAACTGATGATGTTTCAAGTCCGGCTGAAGTATGCACAGCTTCACTTCCTTGTTCAATGTCCTTGTCCGGAGCCTGTGGCTTCACGTTTCCATCTGAAGTAGCAGCCATACGAGGTTCATAGATTATCAGTGCAGACGGAACCTCGCTCCCTACCGATCTGATCTGATCGCGTACCGGCGCAGTAAAGTTCCTTGAACGTCAATGGTATAATGCAGCGCTCCATCCTTATTTGTCACTCTGCCAATTTTCTATCGAGAATTTGCCGATCTATAATCCCGAATGGCAACCTTTTCTCCGATTTCAAAATTTTGTCTTTGAAATCGTAAGTATTCCTTCGGATGCGTTCTTCCACTCTTCGTTTGAGATTTGGAACAACTAAATCAATTTGAGTTCTAATTTCTCTTTTTAAGAATAACATTGCTGGACTTAACAAAGTTGTCATGTTCGGTGCCTTTCTATAATTCATGAGGAATATGGCAAGTTTTTGCTTAATATTTCCTGGATAACCTTGCATTGCACGTAATGCTTGTTTAACTATGTAAACGTACCGCTCTGCTTGCCCGTTACTGCCCGTTACTGGTTTAAATGGAGCACACGTTTTGTGTTTAATTCCATTATTCCTTATAAAAGTTTCAAATTCCGCCGGTGTGAACTGAGGACCATTGTCACTCACTACTACTGAAGGCAGTCCGTATCTTGCAAAACAGTCTCTCAAACATTCAATTGTCTGAAAGGAATACACTTCTAACCATTTAGAATGTGCGTCAACGATAATCAAAAACATTCGTTCAAAAATAGCCATATTTCAACTGAGAAAACGCATCGTTTGACTGAATGTTTAGTACTGTATGGAAGTATATTCGGTTAGGCATTGAGTGGCAGAGTAGGGCGGGAGAAAATAAGAAGCTAAGCTCATCAAAGAAAAATTCAACAATTTGTTTATACAAATAGATTCGATAGATGTGTCTAGCGCTGTGGGTTCAGTGAAGTGCATGACGCAACCAAAACAGACTAGTTCACGGCACAAACATTTATTTCTAAATAACTCATAAGACAGCAGCGATGCGCTATTTACGCAGTTACATTACATTCTACTCTACTCTCGTTCACAGAGGTTCTCGGGTATAAGAGTACTGATACTCTCGAATGCTACAATAGAGGAGGAAAATTATCGGAACAGATTAGTCAGCTGTGGAAAGTGAAAAGTTTAGGAGTTACTAACTGCGAGTTTAAACGGAGCGAGTGGGATAAACAAATTATTAAGCAGTTTTGAGGATAGATGATTAGCGATACTTAGATGGGAGGTATGAAGCGTGTTTATTGTGAAAAAAAAGAGTCGAGAGAATTTGGGAAATAATTTTGGCTTAGCAAAAACACAGTTTGAAAGAGTAGACAATTAATAAATCATAGCTTTGTAAGAGAACAATTCATGGATATAATTAAATATTAAATACAAAATATGAAATTGAAAAGTATGAGGCTACAAGAAAAGGATATTTGATGTCATTTCGAGCATAAAGATAGAAAAAGTACTCAATTTGAATACTATTTAACTGTAGCACTTACGAAACAGCAAGGCTATCGTTAAACGATCGCTTAGAAAAACGCCCAAACCTAAATCCTGGATATCATTCTTGCTTTCCGATAATTTAATATCGGATAAAGAAGTGCAGAGAGTGATTATTCTTCGGAGATTCAAAACCTAGGGAATAATCCAATAACAATTGATTCGAAGCTTTCCATTTTAGCACCATACTTGGACAATAGATGTATCTTGCGTGTCTGAATTCAATTGGAACAAGCAAAATTAATATATGATGGCAAACATTCTATAATTATACTGCCAAAAATCTATTTCACAGAACGAGTGATATTTATTGAAAGCATAAAATAATTGCATTCATGAGTTACGACAAGACTGTCCACAGTCAGGAATAATATTTGAATACCTAGAAGCAGATAGGTAGTTATAGCTACCTGCATTACCTGTAGGATGTACGCAGTGAAATCTGCCAGATACCGTATTGTCAAGATCCTGTAGTTGAAAGTTCTCCTTTCAACACTAGTAGGAACTGATTTTACTGGAGCAATCATCATTAAAGCTGAATGAGAGACGTTAAAAATGTATACATTGTTCTATTTACGCGTGCAGTTACGCGAGTAGAGCATAATGACGTCCGTCTCAGACATGTCAACAAAACGTTTTATCTCTTCAACGTTTTCTATCTGGAAGAGAAAGCTGCAAAGTGATCTCTTCAGATAACGCAAAATCTTTTCGCAACTCGAAGTGAAATACTCAAAGGGTTTAAAAGGATTATTATAGATCCAACACTGAAAGGCTTCATAATATTTAAACTTGGAAGTTCATCCTTGAGCGTACTCCACGGTGGGGTGGGTTCTGGGAATGCATGATGAAGAATACTAAGGAACCACTCAAGAAAATGTTAGGAAAAGCTTTTATTCTCAAATGAGGAATGAACAATAATCAAGTGAAGTAGAATGCATTTTAAATAACAGACCATTAAGACTAACAAGAAGGAAACTACCAGTCAAGCCGTTTCAAGCATTTATGGTCTAAATAAAAGGAACAATATTTACTATAACCGAGGAAAGTTTATCACATTTTAAATCTTAGAGATTTAAATTTTGTTCTTGTAGAAAGATAAAAAAAAAGCTAACTACTTTGGGAATGGGTACAGTTAAATTGCAGTATGTGTTAACAGACAGAGACAGTCATGCAAGAGCCTGAATTGTTTTGCAAAAGATAAATACTTTGGATAAACAGGTATTAGTTATTGAATAGTAAAGATACCAGGTGTTCTAATGAAGAATTTGAAATAGAAATCAAAACCAGTGAATTATACAATGATAAATTTATATATTTTAAAACGAAAGTAACCAGACTTGATCAGAACTTTAGTGAAAGATAAAATATTTTACCTAAAGATAAAAATGAAGCTATTAAAAGGAAATTTAAACTTCCTAAAATTCAATTAAGAAAGTTTAATACCGAGACAAAAGAATAGTTGGGATTTTGGGGGCAGTTTAGAAAAATTTATGAAGATCAGGAAATTGACCCCGAAGATAGATATCAGTATTTAGTAAAATGTACGGAAACTGGATCTAAAGGTAGAGATCTTGTAGAGAGTTTTCCACCTGCTTCTGAAAACTATAATAAAGCTATCGAATATTTGAAAGAGACGATCTTTTGGTTAAAGTTTATGTGAGGGAATTACTGTTTAGTGATGAAAAATAGTAGTAATTCTGCGAATAAAATTTAATCTGTCTGATAAAATAGAAACGCATTTACGTTCATTAGAAAGTTTAGAGGTTACAACCGAGAAATATGCCACTATGCTGTATTCTCTTGTTGAAGCCTAGTTTACCCAATCATATTTTAAGGATATGGGAAAGAAAGACTCAGCTGACAAAGGTATTTCAACAAACAAATTAGAACTTTTGATGGCATTTTTATTATTAGAACTTTTGATAGATTTCTAATTGTTGAAAACTCTCTGAAAAAAGACTCTTAACTACTGTTCGTAAACTTGTTGTTAACGGTCACTTGAATGATTATCGAGAAGTTTTTAAGGACCGGATTCTACAAGGTATTACAGAAGAAGCTCCATTGCAAGATCAAGTCGGACTATATTTACCGCATCATTCAATAATAAAGCATTCTTCCACTACCAAAATAGACCAGTATTCGACGCTTCAGCACATGAAAAGAATTTTGTTTCTCTCAATTCTTGCTCAGAAAAGGGTCACAATCTGTTAGAACTGATACCTTCTATATTTTTACGATTTCGATTAAAAGGATATGGAGTAACAGCTGATATACATAAAGTCTTTTTGCAAATAAATTTGAATTCACAAGATAGAGTTTATTTGAGGTTCTTGTAGTATGAAGACGGTGATTCAAATAAGTGATCTATAGACATTGCAGAATACCATTTGGAATAACTTCAAGCCCTTTTTTATTAGGTGCTACTAATGGCATATCACTCGGATAATGTGGAGGAGGAAACTCAAAAAACAGCCAGGAAATTGAAAGAATCATTTTACGTCGATAATTGCATGACCAGTTTCGACAGTTTTGAAGAAGTTGAGAAGTTTATGAATTGGGCAAAACGGATAATGTCAGATGCTAAATTTGAGCTTCGGGACTGGCAGTACAATACACCTGAAAAAATGATAATCTTTGATTAATCTCAGACACTGGATCTTCTTTAAAGACATGCGAAAATACAACAAATTGTATTCCTGTACTGGGCCTTGTATGCGAGGTAAAGGAAAATACTCTCAGCTGTGACAAAAAAAAATTTAATTCTTAGCAGAAGCGATTTTCGACCCGATTGGATTCTCTTGTCCTTTGATACTGCTGCCGAAATGCTCGTGGGATCAAGAAGTGCCAGAGAAGATTTCAAAGTTTAATTTATGGCATAGTCAAATTGTTAAATTGAAAGATATTAAAATTCCTCGTTGGATTGCGAAACGCTCTAAAATTTATGAACCTGATAAATGGAGTCTGCACGTATTATGTAATGACATCATAATGTTACTATGCAACATGCATATTTATTAGAATAGAAAATAATCAAGGTGTACATTGTCAGTTAGTGCAACCTAAGTCCATAATAGCTCCAATGAGAGTGACAACAATACCTCGCTTGCCGAATTGGTGCTCGACTAGCTGCAGTGGTAAGAAGAGCCTTATATTTAACGGATATTAAAACTTTTTACTGGACAGATTCCAGCAATGCTCTCTGTTGGATTAAACGAGAAGCTGTTTGGGCTGCATTCGTGGCCAATAGAGTAAATGAAATTAGAAAACTAAGTAGCATAAAATGATTGGTATCAGGTTCACAGAACCCAGCAGATACGGTTTCAAGAGGATGTACAATACGACAATTAGTGAAGGCTCAGTGGTGGAACGGGCCAGAATGGCTGAAGTAAAACTTAAGGATTGACACTTATTATGAACTAGTGCAACCCGACGAATCTGTAATAAATTCGGAGAAAAGAAAATGTGTCATAACAGCTACCCAACGTTATAAATATAAGGGATTTATTCTACAACAGATATTCTTGATATAAAAATATAGTAAGGATGGTAGCTTGGATAAAACGATTCTGCAAAAATGCCAGAAATTTACCGAAAGAGCATATTTTCAGTAATATTACTGCTGCAGAATATGAAAAAGAAAGTTTTGAATCTCATGAAGGCAAAACAATCGTATCATTGCGACCTTTTGTGGATGAGAAAGATCTCTCAGAGAAACCATAGTAGAAATTTTCGATTTCCAATAATTCTTCCTCCCAACCATGTTATTACCAAACTGTTAATCGGGGAAAATGGCAGCTCAACACAAACCACTCCATATATTTTAGCCATGTTTAGTTTTTAAGACCCTCATTTTTCAAAGAAATCTTCCAGATTTTTTTAGAGTATAAAAGGAATTCTTTGATAAGAAATTTCTATGTTATGTTTTTGGCTGTATGCTAATCTCCTTATTCTATATTAGTTTTAAATTTTTATCTTGAAATCTTGCCTAAAATCAAAAAACAAACCCTAGGTGTGCCCAGACTGGGCTCACCAATAAGCTAGGACAACTGAGAGTCTGTATTCCTTGCTTCTTCGCATCTCATCGGTCAGTTCATTGACTACAATGCTCGTTTCAGGACACTTTTCGAAGCTCTATTCAATCAGTGTGCCACTTTGGGCACACCATACCTGCCAACCTCTAAAGATAAAAATTCAGAAGATTTCTCCAAAATTCAGAACACGAAGAATTAATATCA